GCGTCTCAATGCTGCCAACATCAGTCGTGGGTACTGAGGATGTCGACGGTAGTGACTCACAGGTATATCTGGCTATTGATAAAATCTCGGATGAGCTTCACCGTCTCCCCAGGCTCGTGGGCTTGATGCTGGCTGAAACTGATCAGCTTCTTCGCACCCCCCAGATGGAAATTCCACCGATCGCTCCCAGACTCCAGTAGGTCGAGAAAGATCAACAAAAACACGCTGGCCACGGTGCTGTCTTGGGTACATAAGACAGGATCACTTAGTGCATTCGAGATTGCTTTGATTGCGCGATGTTTGTATCCCAGGGCATCCTGATGCACATTGAGGTCAGTGGGAGGCCTTTCTTCGTCGTACCGTTGGAACGAATAGCCCAGATTCGCTCTGTGGCGCGCTGCCAGAGCGAGAGCAGCCTTCATCAGAGTGGTGTCGCTCAAGGCTAGCGACATGAGCTTTCGAAACGGGTTGCTACTGCTATCGTAGACGATGAAGAGGCTGCATATGCAGTCCTCATCTGTGAGTTGGTAATGAGAAAAATACACGCAAGCGAAGTGGAGATTTTACCTACAGTAGCTTAAGTAATATTTCGAAGTTGAGTCTAAGCAGGTGATTGAAGGATCTCCGAGCTCGGACGACATCGTGAGAGGCGCTGGTGGTCACGCACTGGTTAGTTTTCAGACCCTCAGTTTCCCTAGAGGGCGGGCGAACCCATCCACCGTGATCTTACCTATCTTGCGTACATGATCTATGGCTGAAGCAGGGGGTCTGGGGCGTACGACGAAAGGGATGATGGCCGATCCGGTCGAAGGGCCTGCATCAGAGTTGCTGAGAGACAAGCCTTTTCGCTTGCCTCGGATGGAGATGCCCTTGACCCATCGGATGGGTCTCTTGTCCAGGCATTCCACCCCCGCCTTCTTGCATTTTCCGCAGGGTCTGGCCGCCTGGTCGCATTGAATGCGCCGATATCGGCAGGTATAGCAGGCCTGCGGGGGAGTCATGTCATCGGGGTTGAAGACTTGATGACATTGGTGTTCTGTTTCTCATCACCAGTCGAAGCAGGGACCGTGCCATGCGATGTTTGTGATAGTTGATAAGGCTTGACATCAGATCATGGCGCAGCTGGTCACGCCCAGCGTCTGGAGAGGGACTAGCCACTTTCAGCCAGTCAGTCAGGTGGCTTACTGTCATGTGACGCTGCTCGCTGCATTTTGCCGTACTCCGCCGCCTTCTCGCCCGGCGCTTTCCGTCCCCACATAGTATGAGTACAAAGTGATCAAACAACCTGGAAGGACACTGAAACCACCGCTTAATAGAGGCAAGCACACGTGAGCATGCGCCAGCGACGTCTCCGAAAGCACTTTCTCAACATGAGCCTCATGGAGTACAGCTCACATACTCAATGCCGGTTTCGCCAGGTGAATAGGGGCTGAGGCGTGCACCCGGACTCGGTTCGGCCTCCCCAGCTCATGTTCGGATATATATGTTTTCCAGGGAAACCACGAAACAATTTGTTACTTGTGTGCAACCGGCACTACATTGCAGCAATACAATCGTTCAGGTCGAGCATGGTGCCATGCCAAGTTGGCAAGAAATATTCTCCTCGAATTTGGATGTCGACCGCACGGATGTTGTACATAAGCTCTGCCGAACTGCGGCATTCTGGCTCCTTCCCGTGTCTGTATCCTCCAATCCTTCTCTCGTGCAGAACGTTGACAATTATAGGAAAACCGCCGAAACTTCTTCTCACTCCCATAACGAATACAAGAAAAAAAAAGCAGAGTTGACATGGCTTAAAGCACTGTGTTCAGGTCACGTTGAGAGAAAGCGGCAAGGGAGAGCCCGGTCAAGTGACCGCCGCAGCCCTCACCTCACCAGCATTAGGGGCATGCGTGGAAGAGATTCAGACCTCAACAAGGAGCAACAAGAGTATCAATATCCATGCACAGAACGCCACTGCGAGAATAAATGGATGTGGAATGAATCTACCCCGCCCCTGCAGATTGCATTGCGTGCTGGACCGATAAGAGTGCAAATTGGACCGATAAACAAATAGATTGCCAGTTATCTAGACGTGCCGAACCACCGCCCTAACGCTCACCCACCCCCTCTTTCTTCTCGCCCTGACCTTGCAAGTTGCGCGACCGGCAAAGCCCGTTCCTGCAGACTTACCCCCCTAGAAGGTGAGCCTAATGCCCCTTCCGGTATTAGCTGGCACACCGGTTCTCGACGATGTGTGCAACCCGGCTCCACCACGGGCGCGGGCCCGACGCTGTCCGACGGAGGAAGGCGAGGAGATCCGCCTCGCTGCATCGACCGTCAACCGGCGCCCTCGCCAATTCACCTGCAGATACCACCACCCAGTGCGCAATCTTCCCGGCCAGAGCGTGGCACAGGGTTGCATTGTGCGCGCCATGACCGGTTCATTTCTTGCTGGGGCGACGAACAGACCCCTCGACGCACTCATAAATTGCTCGCAGCCCCCCCAACGACTTTTGCACAGGCCGATCGTGCGTCTTTTCCTTCCTCAATCGCTCGTGCTCCCGGACTTCGGACACTGCGATCATGCGGTTCTGTTCCCCTGTCAGTCTTGTGGCCGTGACGGCTCTGTGGGCATCACTCGCGGCAGCTGTTCGGCCTCCCCGTCTTGCTCCACGCCCGATCGCTGCCACAAGCCAAGCGAGTGAATCGTCTGTGGTAGAAAGCACGTTCGAGCAGTTGATCGACCACAGTGATCCGTCCAAGGGTACCTTTTCCCAGCGTTACTGGTACAGCGCCCAGTACTGGGGTGGCCCGGGCTCTCCGGTTGTCCTGTTCACCCCCGGCGAGGTCTCGGCCGACGGGTATCAGGGCTACCTGACCAATTCCACCCTGACGGGTGTCTATGCGCAGCAGCTGCAGGGTGCGGTGGTTCTGGTCGAGCGTGAGTTGGCCGTGGTCCAACCACGTGTACTGCCCGACTAACGTGGATAGACCGCTACTGGGGTGGTTCCTCTCCTTACACCAACCTCACCGCCGAGACCCTCCAGTACCTCACCCTGGAGCAATCCGTCCTCGATCTGACCTACTTTGCGGAAAATGTGAAACTGGGGTTCGCGCGCAACAGCACTAGCAGCAATGCGCCCCACGTGGTAAGTGGCCTGGCTGCTTGATGGTCTGGATGACACCTGTTGATGATCCGCTACAGCCGTGGGTGCTCGTCGGTGGCTCTTACAGTGGAGCCCTGACGGCCTGGACCGAGCATCTGGCTCCTGGGACTTTCTGGGCGTACCACGCGACCAGCGCTCCGGTCGAGTCGATCTATGATTTCGTGAGTAGACCTGCGCCGTGGCTAGGATGCACCGTAGCTGACCGAACAGTGGCAATACTTCCGACCCATCCAGGACGGCATGGCCAAGAACTGCAGCAAGGACGTCTCGCTGGTGGCCGAGCATGTCGATAAAATCGGCAAGTCTGGCACCAAGGCTCAGCAGACGGAATTGAAGAAGCTGTTTGGCCTCGAGGCTCTCGAGCATTTCGATGACTTCGCAGCGTACGTCGTTCATGTCATTCCTTGCGTGCGAGTTTGAGTGCACGGCGTACTGACCATAGCAGTGTGCTGCCCGTTGGGCCTTACCTCTGGCAGGACAACACCTTCGCGACCGGCTACTCGGGCTTCTTCGCTTTCTGCGATGCTGTCGAGGTATGTTGCAGCATAATCGTGCCTCGTCTAAGGAGAGTGCTTACCGGTAACAGAACGTGGAGGCCGGTGCCGCCGTCACCCCCGGGGCGGAGGGAGTCGGCCTAGAGAAGGCTCTCACAGGCTATGCCAACTGGTTCAAGAACGAAATCTTCCCCGGCTGTAAGTTACCCAAGCCAACGCGACCAGCGCGCAGCTAACCCCAGAACCCCAGACTGCGCTTCGTACGGCTACTGGTCCGACGAGTACAGCGTGGCCTGCTACGACACTTACAACACCACCAGCCCCCTTTTTACGGACACCTCCGTCGACAACGCCGTCGACCGCCAGTGGCAATGGTTCCTCTGCAACGAGCCCTTTTTCTGGTGGCAGGAGTACGCACCCTCCGTTGAAATCCGCTACCCCAGGACGAAGTAAACTGACTGAAAACAGTGGGGCCCCCTCGAGCGAGACGACGCTGATCCCCCGTCTGGTGAGCGCGGACTACTGGCAGCGACAATGCGCGCTGTACTTCCCCGAGGTCAACGGCTTCACGTACGGCAGCGCCGAGGGCAAGAGCGCTAGCACCTTCAACGCCTGGACCGATGGATGGTTCCTGAACGGCAACTCCACGCGGTTGATCTGGACGAATGGGTAGGTCCAGCACTAGAAGATGCACAGTTGTAACGTAACTAACGATGGATCCAGTCAATATGATCCCTGGAGGGACGCCACTGTCTCGTCGACCTTCCGACCGGGCGGCCCCCTGGCCAGCACCCCCAGCGAGCCGGTCCAGATCATCCCCGGCGGCTTCCACTGCTCGGATCTCTACATCTCGGACTCCGTGGTCAACGCAGGGGTGAAGAAGGTGGTGGATAACGAGGTCGCTCAGATCAAGGCCTGGGTGGCGGAGTTCTATGCATAATTAAGTTGGAGAGAGGGAGAGAGAGTCGCGGAAGAAGACTCAGCCGGTGGTGTCGGCTAGGGTGCGGATTGGATATTCTGTCCATGAATGATGTCACGTGTAATGTGTTGGCAGCTGAGCAGAAATGTATATACTCTAAGCATTGCAAATACAAGCTTGGTTCATGACGCGGTGATGTCTCCAGCTGAGAATGGTTCCGTACATGTCATCACCAGGTGGATATCTTGGCGCAAGTGCCGAAGGCCTTCCCGAAGACGGAACTGTTCGGAGCACCACGCAATGGCTGGATATGACATCACAGATCAATTGTTCAGACCAGCGGAGGGTAAAGGAAGTATAAGATAGAGAAGAAGAATTTGTTCGAAGGCCATAGCCCATCTCATTTGAAACAAAAAAACGAGAATACACCCCGCAAAAATGGTCTACAACATCACCGAGAAAGAGACCCAGCCGACGATCTACAGCCACATCAACGGCTCCCCATCCGAGATCAACGACCGATACTGCGTCTCGGAACTGTGCAAAGGCTGGCCGGTCTATCGGGACGCTTCCGAATGGAACCACTACCGCCACCTGTTCGCCAAGGAGGGCGCCTTCGTCTTCACCAGTGCGTCTCTTCCCCACCGACTCCTGTTCCGTCCCCCTCCCCCTCCCTCAACCCCTGATTCGTACTAAGACAAGGAAATAAAAGCATGGAGCGGCGGCCTCTCGATCGACGACTTCATCCAAACCTCGATCAAAGGCCGCGCCAACGGCGACTTCATCATGCACCGCGAGAACGGCACCCTCGTCGACCTCAACCCGTCCACCCAGCGCGCCGTCGGTAAGATGAAGGCCACGATCACGCAGCGCTTCAGCTGGGACGGGGTGGCCTTCGACGTCGAGTGCGACTGCCGCTTCATCAACTTCTGTCTCAAAGAGGAGGGCGAGTGGAAGGTCGTGTATATCAAGCTGTTCTACGAGAAGGACCGCGTGGTGCCCGTCGACGGACGCACTGTCCCGCAGTTCGACCGCACGGAGCTGCTCAAGTATCCCCCCGGCTACCAGTATCTGGCTGTCGCGCAGTCGCGGCTGGGCCATCCGATTCTGAACGATCTGCCCACCTTGGATAATCGGGCGTTCTTCGATTTGTACGCCGCCATGGATGCCTGGTTGGAGGGCCGGCCGGTGGGGGATCTATTGCAGATTCCGAAGGAGGCGGTGCCGCGGTATTGAGCGGTTTATGGCGGGGGAATGGGTGGCGCGTGTAATGGGGACTTATGTAATAATATACGGGTGAATGTTATCGGCATGTGCGATGAAAGGGGAATGGAATTCAATTGATGGAATACATGGGTAGATAATGCAGAAAGTCAACCCCCTCCCCCGAGTCTAGCCCGAAGCCCCAGAGGTACAAGTCACCCCCAAGCTCGAAGGGGTGTTGGCACACAACACCTGCGACTTGCCCGAAGGAGCCTTGACGCTCCACCCGCTGATCGTCACATCGCACGTCCCCCCCGATCCGCAGTTCAGGTTGGCCACGGTGGGATCGTACTTCGAGCTCGTGGTGCCGCTGAACCCGGTGACCTTGATGCCCGACAGCTTCGCGTTCCCGGGGTATGTGGTGCAGTACGAAGCGTCTTCGCCGTAGCAGCTCTGAATCTGGAACGCGTAGTCGGAGTTGTCGATGGTGAAGTCGTTGAACGTCACGTTCGACACCGTCGACACGCCATGACTGCCGCCGCTCGGGTAGGTCTTGATCCCCGCGGCCTTGGTCGAGTTAACCATGGTCGCCCCCGTGACGTAGATGTTCTTGACGGTGTCGCTGCTGGACTTGCCCAGCGAGCCCACCGAGATCCCGTGCGAGCCCGTGCAGGTGATCGTGTCGACGGTGACATAGTTCGAGCTCGGCTTGAACGCCACGCAGTCGTCGTCGTTCTTGACCGTCGTGTCCGCGATGGTCACATAGGTGCTCTCGCCGATGTCGAACCCGTCGGTGTTCTTGGGGTCGTTGTCGGACTTGGACGTCGCGTCCATCCGCAGCTTGGAGAAGACGACGTTAGTCGCGCCCCCCTTGACTGAGTTGAAGACGTTGGGCGGGTTCTTCTGACGGAAGTTGGAGAACTCGAGGTTGCTGCCGCCGGTGATGTAGAGGAGGGTCGGTCGGGCGTAGCTACTGTCTGAGGCAAAGACGTCCCAACTGACACGTTGAGCAGAGTCAGTACTGGTAGGATTGAAAGGTACGAGGGGGTTGACTCACGCATCCTGACCATTTCCGTCGATGACCCCCGACCCCGTCAGGGACCGCAGCTTGAGTCCGTTGATCTTGGAGATGCTGATCATGGCAGTGCGCCCCTCCCAGTAGTCGGTGTCACTGGCGAACTTGAGCAACCCCTCGACCTGGAAGTCACAGCCCGTGCAGCCAGCGAAGTCGAGGACGCTGTTGAGGTAATAGGTGGTGCCTTCGGGAATGACGATAGTGCCACCGTTACCACAGCTAGCAATCGCTTTGGTGATAGCAGGGACGTCGTCGATAGAGGAGCTGCCTCCTGCAGTTGGAGTGCAGACCGCACGAGGCCGAAGCGCAGCATCCGGACTATGTTGCACGGGCGAGGGGGCAGCCCTAACCAGGCCAACGGCCGCTAGCAGCAACGACGTCCAGTGTGGTGCCATATTGAAGGCTAGAGGCACAAAAGATAATTGAGATTATTGATGGAATTTACTGAGCTGAAACATTCGCAAGCCTAGATATATAGCAGAGTGAAGCTCAGATGGACGATCCTTACCTGAAATGCGAGACACGGCGTGCTATTTTCATCACGGACGGCGGTAACAGTAATGCCTGTTTCAGGCTCTCGTCTCGGGGCACTACCTCCAACGAACTGCATGCTTGACATATGAATGCGAAACAACAGTGGGGCTGGCTGGACGGAGAAACTGAAGCGGTGCTAGGGCTCCTGTCTCCAACGGTCCGGGCCACGTGCGGCAACTCCGCTGCCTCGCTTGCGGATAAATCGGAGGTAGAAGGTCAGAGGGAAGTTATGGAGGTGCCTGGTAAAGTATCCAATGCATTACTTCGACTACCAACCCAAGACCCTAGTGTGACAAGCGGGGCAATTTAGCCAGGGCCGAGAGGAGCCCTTGGCAATCCAGCGTTTCAGCTTCCCGCTACCACCCCGGCTAAATTGAGCCTGTTCCTGTGACGGACACCGGTAATTGTCAGGGGCACTCCAGTTTCTGCAAACCCAAACTGCCGAGTGTCTGAACAGAGCGCCTAGGAAGGCTATTGGAGAACTTGATCCTATTCATGGAAATGTGGATTTTCCTGTTCGTCTGGGCTGCATTCCTCCGGACTCTCCGCACTGTCGATGCCAATCTTGTTCCCACCAAGCCTCAGCTCGCGCCAGTCAGAATCAAACCTCGTGCCTCGGCCTTGGCACTTGCAAAGTAACAACGGATTGAGAGGTGGAAAATACCCCCAGGGTTGCAGAAGTGGCTCCTTCGTTGCATGATCGCATTTCTCCTTGGCCGAACCCTATATATCTGCCTGCGCCCAGAACCGCCAACTGCGGGATCAGCAGTGGAAAGATTAGCGCTTCCCTACGAAATACTTTCCCACATTTCTCCCATGCATTTCTCCTCTGCTCTTGTCGCCCTTATCGGGCTCACTGCCCCAGTGCTGTCAGCTCCGGCGTCATCCCTTGAGAAGCGGACGAGTCGCACGAGCGCGCCCTCGGGCTGCCTGAGTGTCGGCTCGGGGCAAACCTACTCGACCATTAGCGCAGCCCTAACTGCTCTTGGTTCCTCAACTGCCGCAGCATGTATCTATATTGCCAGTGGCACCTATTCTGAGCAGCTTACCATCAAGTATGCCGGAGCCTTGACGCTGTACGGGCAGACGAGTGACACCGGCTCATACAAGAACAATGTCGTCACCATCACCCACACCATCTCCTCGCCCGACGCTGGGTCCTTGGACAAGAGTGCCACTGTCAACGTGGTCTCCGACAACTTCAAGATGTATAACATCAACGTCGCCAATGGATACGGAAAGGGCGCTCAAGCCGTGGCGTATGTATTATCTTCTCGACTTCGATTTGATTTGACGCTTGACTCTGACTTTGTTGTATATAGACTGGTCGGCAACGCGGATCAACTGGGCTTTTACGGCTGCCAGTTCACGGGATACCAAGACACTCTTTACGTCAAAGCCGGCACTCAGTATTACTCCAACTGTTTGATCGAGGGTATGGATACACCAAAGCCAAGACACAGGCATATCCGCAATGGCTGACACAAATAGGTGCCGTGGACTATATCTTCGGAGATGCCTCTGTCTGGTTCGGCGAATGTGATATCGTCTCCAACGGAGCGGGAGCCATCACCGCCTCCTCTCGCGAAACCTCCACCGACGATGGCTGGTATGCCTTCGATAACTGCAACATCAAGGCCGCGTCGGGAGTGTCCCTGACCGATTCGGTCTATTTGGGCCGTCCTTGGCGAGTGCTGGCTCGGGTCATCTACCAGAACTCGGTTCTTTCTGATATCATCAACCCCAAGGGATGGACCACGATGGCTGAGGGAGCGACTCCGCTGTACTATGAATACAACAACTCGGGTGATGGATCGAGCACATCTAGCAGACTCTACGAGAGTTCGATCTCGGCGGCTGTGACCAAGACGACAGTGTTGGGTTCCACTTGGGGGGATTGGATTGACCGGACTTACTAACGGTCTTACTATGTTGGGTTGTAGGTAGTGGGTCAGAATATCTTCGATTTATTTAAGCATAATATCCGGTGTTCTATCATGCTATACAGGAGACGTAGTTAATAGGCAGAATTGCACTTGAGCCTAGATGAAGAGCAAGTTCTTGCGCATTCGCGCATGATGCCTCCGGCAAGGGGGCTGCGTTTCTCGAAGAAGTCTCCTACAGGCCTAGAGAGTGCATAGCACATTGCATCATAGTAGACTTGTTAAGCAGTGTCACTGTGCTTTGTTACCGCCCAGCCAAAACAGTTTGTGGCGTACTCGATAGCCTCGACGGTATTCACCGTCTGAAACAACAGAGTGAAGAGTCCTGCTATTCACTTTTAGTGAAAAGGACTTGTTGGCGGCCTTATGGTCTCGATATGGACTGGTCACCGCCCGCCCCGGCCATTCTGATATATGTTCGCTCGAACAGCCTCACGTAATTGGGTACATCACTCATCCACGTCACCGACAGGGCTATCACCGCCATCAATATTTTCAGATTGCTGATAGGTCAAAGCTCCGCTGGATCCAGGAAACCCGGCAGAGAAAGCAGTGAAAAGGAGATATCAATATGAGTTTCTTTCTTCCAAATGTTTAATGACATCTTCCAGTTCACTAAGCCACACAAAAGCCATGGGTTGATGTTCGTACATCTCTACATCAATATCTACTATCGGTCGAAATACATCTTTGGACCAGATCTCAATCATCACCAACTTTCCTCACCACTACAACAACTCTACCAGTGACCAGTACTCTGCCTCCATCACCCCATCATCTCACTATCAAGCCTCTGCCACTGATGCCATCCTCGATATCATGTCCGATGCAACATTCGTCGTCCTTGTCCTCGGCCTCATCCACTTCACCAGAGGCGCGACAGAGCATTGGCTCCGCCGCCACGTCTTCCACGATCGCGTCTGGTCTGGCGTTTGCCTGTCGGTGCTTTCCACCTTCCTGATAAAACACATCGTGTACGGCTACATGATCTACATGCTGGAATGGCAGTCGGATGACTACCTCGCTGCGGAGGTTGGGATCGGCGAGCGACAAACCCCAACTGCTCAATCCAGTGCGCTACAGGGCCTGCACGAGATGTTCCGCCGCGGCTACATCTCCGATGTCGACATGATGATCTGGCTACAGAGTCGGGGGAATCGGTTCGAGCTGGCACTCATCTGGTTTGCCTGGACCTACATCGCTATGGTCATCTGGTTCCTGGCCCGCGAGGGGTTCTTTCCCTAAGTCGCGGAGGGCAGCAGCTGTTCCCACACGACATGGCAAGACAATTTATCATAGAGGAGGCTCAGCTACATATTTCGGCAAGAAGATTCAGGGGGAGGAGAACAAACGGGGGGAGTTGTTTTTACGTGGATCATTTGACCTTCTGAACTAGATATTCCATTTACCTCCTGCAATGCACAGGTCTTGCTGCACACAAACTACTTTCGATGACCTGGAAACAACTGTGAGGAGTAACCAGCCTCTCCAGAAAGGGCCTGAAGGATGCGTTTGATGGTGAGCACTCTTGATCTTGTGAAGATGAACTAGATTGTGACTGCACACATTAATAGCATAAAAGACCTCAGTATCAGTCTTTTGCTTCACTGCCCTTTCAATAAACATTATATAAAATGGTCTCCGTAGAGTATGAGTCAAAGCTGCGAAAGTAGGGAAGTGTAGAGTGCAGGGGGTTCTTTGAGTAGCGAAAGAACTACAGGCGAATGTCCTTTCACTACCGGAACTCTTTATCACGCCTCTCCAAGGCCACCTAGTTCTCGCAGTTGTCGTTCTTACAGGCAATGCATAAATAACAGCCTAATCTCTTCTTCAACATACCACTTCTCGAACATACACTTACCCTCGGTCAACCAGCAACAAGGCCCAGAAACCCTTTTATCAGACCGACATCACATATCCTGCTAATTACAACCCCGCAACTCCCTCCGATCATCTCAACCATGGCGGACTTCATAACCGAGGCAACCCTTGTGATCCTATTCGTGATAGGCGTGCACCTGAACAGTCACAATCTTGTCCCCCACATCCGTTCATCCTCTGCCCGCCATCCCACCCTCACGATGTACGTCGCGATCCCCCTCTTCATTCTTATGGCCAAATTCACGATTGTACACTCGATGTACATTGACCGCCTCGCCTATGACCACCAGCAAATCCAGGCCCTTATGAAAAGGACCGCTTTGGCACGCGATATGGCATGGACGGAAGCGGAAATAGTGGACTGGTTGCTCAGCACAGGCCATATCAAGGGAATTCGAAACCCCTGGGTTGCGCTCGCGCAGCGGCGAACCCTCATCGCCATGATCCTCATCGAGCTGGCCTACAGCAATCTAGCGATTTTCATGTGTGATCTCGCCTACCGATGCTTGTTTGTGCGGTGGCGGTCCCCGAGGCGTAAACTGGGCCGTCGACCCGCGCAACGGGCGAGGGGTAATCAGGGCCGTCGCCGACGTCTTGTGCATCGCCGATGAGAGGGCTTCTAGTTTTAAAAGGTCTGTCTCATCTTGGATTGCAGGGAGGCGTAAAGAGTATTTGAGGAGAGAGGTAAGATTTGAAAAATGCTCTCCTATTAAGGGGTCCGTTATTACAGCGGATCTTGAAGATCAAGTAAACAAGCAATGTTTTGGTTAAGCTGTAGCGCTTGTGGTGCAGTCTTGATATCATCAGCCTAGATCATTAGATGAAAGAACGAGTGACAAAAGCCAGGATAGCGAGCCGAGACAACAGCAAGATTACTACAAGAAGATTTAATCGACAGCTTCTTTCGAAGAACACTCGGAGGGGTAATGTTCTTGTAAGGACTGGATCACTAGGTGGCTTGACACTTTTTTATGCAACCAACTGCGTCCCCATTTATCGGTGATATGATCCGTTCCCGTACACATGCAATGGCTGGCACAACTGCTACAAACTTTCAGCCAAACCATCGCCAGTCTGTTTTGTGGCTTATCTTGTTTAGGAAGTGCAGATATTAGACTCATGTCATTTACTGACATTCCTTTGAACTCTACCTTCAGTGCATACTTCGTGTCAAGATAGTATCAAGTCATAACAAGAGCTATTACGGAGATAAAAAAAGGACCAACCCGAATTCCGGATTTCGGCATTACCACCATATTTGCCTATGTAAGGAATATCTATAATTCCTGCTCACCCACTATCAGCTTCCCCCCTTCTATGAGTTCCTTTACGGCCGAGTTTCCGGCTGCACTGAGGTATTCTCGGACCACACCGAGCTACATGTTTTGGATTAATTGCGGGATGTGGAGATGGGGGCGCTCCCGACCAGACCCTGTGGCTACCCCGCACGCATATCCAGGAAGATCCGGGGTAATATCATCCGCCCTACAATTGATCATAGAGTTGGCCATCTGCGAGAGGACTATCAAAGTATTTGCTCGGAATACAACATCCCGAGACCCATAAAGTTGTATCCTGAATGCACGAGTATAAAACTCAGTCATCAGGCCTCTGCTACCCATTAAAGAAAGCACTACCTCGACTGAGAAGGACACAGCAAAGTCACAGGAATTTCCACCCATAATTCATTATGCACATTATCACTCCTTTGCTGATACCAGCAGTGTTAGTGGTCGCAGCCCGGGTCCCATACCGGGAGTATATTCTAGCCCCATCCTCTCGAGTAATTGTTCCCGCCTGAGTTCGTCAGGTCAACGGGTCTGTCACTAATGCGAATGGCCTGACTGGATCCTCATTGGGCACCGCCGTCTTCCATGGCGTTTCATCGGTGACCTACGACTTTGGAAAGAACGTTGCAGGCCTTGTTTCCCTCACGGTTGGATTTTCTTCCTCTCCATCTGCCTTCCTGGGGGTCACCTTCTCTGAATCAAGCCTGTGGGAGAGCAGTGAGGCGTGTGATGCTACTGGAGGTTCTGGCCTCGATGCACCTTTGTGGTTCCCGGTTGGTCAAAAGGCGGGAACATATACCCCTGACAGCAAATACGTTCGAGGTGGTATCCGGTATCTGACGGTCGTGAGCAACACGAGCGCGACGATCCCTCTCAACTCCCCCCACATCACATTCACAGCTGCTCCGGATCAAGATCTGCAAGCGTACCAAGGCTGGTTCCACTCGAATGACGAATTGCTGAACGAGATTTGGTATGCGGGCGCATATACCAATCAGCTGTGTACAATTGATCCAACATATGGCTCCGCGAGCTCGGAGACTATCTCCACCTCCGGCCTGAATTCCTGGTACAAAAATCTCACTATCGCCAATGGAACCAGCACAGTGACCGATGGCGCAAAACGAGATCGCGCTGTTTGGCCAGGCGACATGTCGATCTCTCGAGAGAGTATCGCGGTCAGCACCAACGATCTGTACAGTGTAAGAATGGGATTGGAGGCCCTACTCGCTTTGCAATCATCTGAGGGACAACTGCCTTGGGGTGGCAAGCCTTTCAACATTGATGTTAGTTACACTTACCACCTACATTCAGTGATTGGAATGTCCTTCCTATATCGGTTCTCAGGCGATAAAGTCTGGCTTTCCAACTATTGGAGTCAATATTCGAAGGGGGTCGAATGGGCTGTAAGGAGTGTTGATAGCACTGGTCTAGCGAATGTGACATCCATTGTCAGCGCTGACTGGTTGCGAGGGGGTATGGGAGGCCACGTACGTTTTGCCACATCCTAGACCGAAGATCCCTTGCCGGTTTACTAATGAGGATCAGAACATCGAGGCTAATGCGATTCTCTACTTCGTCCTCCAAGAGGCGCAGAATTTAGCGCGCGACCTCAACCGGAGCTCCGAGTACACGAACTGGGCCAGTATTGCCGATGGGGTCAAATCTGCAGCCAACCAGCTACTCTGGGACGACCAAGCAGGACTTTACCGAGATAACCAGACAACCGAGCTCCATCCACAGGACGGAAACGCCTGGGCTGTCAAAGCCAATCTGACCCTTTCCGGCAGTCAAATTCGAGCTATTTCTCAGGCCCTCAAGGCGCGTTGGGGTCGTTACGGTGCCCCCGCGCCCGAGGCCGGGGCAACCATCTCGCCTTTCATCGGCGGCTTTGAAGTTCAATCTCACTTTCTGGCTAACCAGCCCGATGTGGCTCTGGATTTGATTCGGTTGCAGTGGGGGTTCATGCTGCGCGATCCCCCGAATGACCCAGTCGACATTCATTGAGGGATACTCCACGGATGGCTCGATCTATTACGCCCCGTACGCTAACGACGCACGTATCTCGCATGCTCACGGTTGGTCCACCGGCCCAACATATGCCTTAACAGCCTATGCCGCTGGTCTGCAGCTACTCGGACCGGCTGGAAACAGTTGGTTAATTGCTCCGCAACCTGGGGGTCTGACTAGCATAGACTGTGGACTCGCTACTGCTCTTGGAGTCTTCTCGGTCGTCTTTGAAAGAGATTCAGTTGGCCGTTATGATTCTTTCTCTTTTGGCGCGCCGACTGGGACTACCGGCAGGATTGAGTTACCAGGGGTCCGAGGCACGTTGGTCTCCACCACGGGCCAACGCGTGCAGCTGGTTAATGGCACAGCTTCCGGTTCGAGAGGAGGAAAATGGAAGCTGATTGAGTCAGCCGACTGAGGTAGCGTTGCCCCCTGCTGGCCGATGGCTATGGGAATTATGGGTTTTCAAACTGCTGATCCAATACAAATGCTATAGTCTAGTAATTAAGCCCATCTTGTGCCAACAATATAGGCATAGTTTGGAGCATACTAATGGCAACCATCTTAGTGCCTGATCCGGAAGGCTACGGGTGCATATTAATCTTGATTGGTAAGCTTTCTGCTCCGTTCTCGGCTCACCTGGAGTTGGGAAGCTTTCCTACATACAAGTAGTCTGATCTGAGTATTTCACAGTACCCTTTGTCGCTGACGATGTGCAAACTGTCTTCTGAGTCAATCTACTGTAGGAAAGGCTAGAAAGAAAGCGAGGAGATTTAGTGACACGAGTTTAGTCGAAATGCGTAGGACCCTGATACAGAACAAAAGGAAGCGTCTCAGGGACACGGCCCTGGTCGTCCTCGACAAGCCGGTGGCCTCCCGGATAGGTTTGACCTGGTGTGATGTCAGACATGGCTTTCAGACTCGGTACGGGAAAAGGAATAGGCGTCTCGGGTAGTCTGAATGCATACCGTATTTGGGATGGTTCAACACACCCGTCTCGTAGATATTCACGTAGCGCTCTTTAAACCATTCCTGCAAGCGATCCCAGTTGACGCACTGATGATAGCCAGAAAGGTTGTCTCCGGCACTCGACTACCATCGGTCCACCAGTAGAGTCCACGATTATAATTCCCAATAAACGATGAGAAATTGCAAATAACTATCGATTTGTGGATCAATCGCGCATTTCATATCGTCCGAAAGAGTATCAGTCATCGGGCATTACATGGGTATCTTGGTCAATTATTTCCGTATTTCATCACATGACTGAGATCCCTGCGAGTAAGCATGCATTGATTGGCATAGAACCGGGAGGTCCCAGGGTCAAGATAACAATCACACAGCTGCTTATCAGCAGCACATTGGTCGCACCTGTATTATAACCCCCTGACGTTCCCCGCCCATCTGTTCCTGCGCCTTTGTTACCCCTTATCCTTTTCTCCCCCTCCCCGTACGGTACGCACGCCGTATGAACTCGATCAATCAAACTGCCCCCTGCGTTCTGGCAGATCGCCAGCTGGGTCCGCAGGTCTCCGTGCGCTGCCGAAGTTTCGACTTTACGGTCACATTTGAAGAAAGTATTTTGTCAGTTCTCCCATCAGTGCTCTTCATTAGTTCCGCAACCTTTCGAATTGCTCTTCTTTACAGGCAAAAGCCTAAGGTTGGGGCGCGACTTTCCCAAAGGCTGAAGCTGGTTGGTATCCCTCATAGTATGCAACTCTACTAGAGATATGTGGCTTATCCGGTTGCAGTCTCTGGCAGGCGTCTTTGGTTTGCTCCAGTTGTCACTTCTTGTCATTTACGCCCGACCGCAGTACCCGGATCATCAGCCGTGGGGAATTGCAGCATTGGCTCTAGCAGTGGCAGACTCCATCTTTGTCGCTCTACTCTCGTACTTGGAACATGAAAGGGCGATCTCCCCATCCGGCATATTGCTGTCTTATCTTCTGTTGTCGACATTGCTCGATGCCGCTCGCGTGAGAGCTATCTGGCTGCTTCATCATGGCTGGTTGCCTTTCCAAGTCATCACTTCACTCAGTCTAGCTATTAAAGGGCTTATTCTTTTCGTTGAATCAAGGGCAAAAGACTGAGCACTTTCTCGACTCACAAGATGCTGCACGATCGCCCGAGGAAACGAAAGGACTGTTTAGCAATGGCCTGTTTCTGTGGACAAACTCTCTCCTTCGGAGGGGCTTCAAGAAGGTCCTTTGCTTGAGCGATCTCTACAATGTTCCAGGGGAATGCATTGGCGTTGAACTAGACCAGAGGTTTGAAGAGGCTTTCGAAAAGAGCCAGGCAAAGAATTATAGGCTTGTCAAAGCCGCGTTGAGAGTCTTCATGTTCACGTTGTTGCGTCCAGCCATGCCGCGAATTTTCCTTCTGGCATTCACCTTATTACAACCGATTCTAATGCTGGAGCTTCTTCGCTGGCTGGAACAGGCCTCCCATCGCGACATGAATATAGGCTACGGCTTATTGGGAGCCAACGCCATAGGATATGTAGGCCTGGCTATCGCCACTGGTGCGTATTGGCGTCTTCAGCTCCGATTCATCACGACCCTCCGGGGAACATTGCTCTCAGCGATCCATCGAAAGGCACTCCAACTCAGTGATGTCGAGGCAAAGAAGGCTACTGTGGCTTTGATGAGCACCGATGTGGAGATGGCATGCACTGGACTAGAGCAGCTCCACGAGGTTTATTTCAGTCTGTTGCAGATCGGCATCGCAACCTGGCTGTTGGAGCGGCAAGTCGGGGCGGCCTGCGTTTCACCTGCCATCGTGGCAACGACCTGCGCCATTGCTACGTACAAATTGTCCCAGCATGTGGGTCAAAGTCAGAAAGCATGGTTGATGAGCGTACAGAAACGGTTGAGTTTGTGCTCCAGAACAGTTGGTTCTGCCTTGTTGAATCATTGCTAATGTTTCGGATCTTCGATAGATGCCACTACATCAGTTCTTTCAGATATGAAAACTGTGAAATTATCCGGTTTCGCGAGAAGCCTTTCTGATAGGCTTTCTGATCTGCGTGATACCGAGCTTCAATCTGCCTCGAAATACCGTAGGATCTTGGTGTGGGTTATGGGCTTGGGTGAGTATGGGCTACCACGCCAAAATACTATGATCTGATCATGCATTCCGCAGCGTACGCTCCTTCGGCAATATCCCCCGTGGTGACTTTGACCATCTACGCCGCCATTCAATCAAACGCCTGGACTTCATCCAGTGCATCTCATATCTATACTGCTATCTCGCTCCTAGGTCTCATCGCATCCCCCTTGGTGGCTGTGTTCCAACTGGTTCCTATGGTTGTAGCGGCACTGAGCTGTCTAGACCGAATTGAAGATTTCCTCGCGGGTCCAGCCCACGCGGACTACCGAATTCCACCCCACGCAACAGGTACCCTGATTGATTCCGAAAAGGAGGCAATGGAGTCTATCAGTCCTTCATGTCCTTCATCAGATCAGGAACCGGGGCACCGATCTCGATTTGCCTTGACCATCCATAATGCAAGCTTCTCTTACCCTGGATCATCTTCTGTCGTGCTTCAAAGCATTACGGTCAACATCCCACTGTCGCAGCTCACACTAATCTTAGGACCTGTCGGCAGTGGAAAGTCTGCACTGCTCCGGGCTATGCTGGGAGAAATGGATCTACTCACAGGCAGCGTGGAAAAGAAAGTCCGAAGTCCTGCGTATTGCCACCAATCACCTTGGCTTCTGAACAGCTCTATCCGAGAAAACATCGTTGGGCCCGATCAAGACCTTGACACTGAGCTCTACAGGAAAGCACTGTGGGCTTGCGAGTTGGATCACGATCTTCGCGAGATCATTGAAGGGGATCACACCAAGGTCGGAAGTAGCGGCGTCACGCTGAGTGGGGGACAGAAACAGCGCATTGTAAACAATTGCCCTTGTCACGGAAGTGTATGCTCTGACAATATTTCTAACAGGCGATGGCCAGAGCGGTATATGCGCGAAAAGAGCTTTTTTTTCTCGACGATAGTTTCAGTGCGCTTGATCCCCGCATGGAGGGGAAGGTTGCGCGGCGCCTTCTCGGACCCAAAGGCATGATGCGAGAGAACGGACAGACTGTGGTTGCTGCTTCCAAAGGAGGTCAGTGAAAGCCTGATAGACTCTGATTCAATAGTTGACACCTTGCTGCTTTAGAATGGTTGTTACCGTACGCCGATCTGGTTATTCTTCTTGACATGAATGGCAGAATCCGGGCCCAGGGCTCGCCGGAGGAACTGACATCACACTTCACCATTCCATCCAAGGGTAACGACATGGAAGACGACGAAATCTACATCTCACACCAAGAACCTTTGTCAGTGCCGAATACATCTTCCGATAAGAAAGTCCAACAGACCGAACCAAGGGACCATAGACTCGAACATCGCAATGTTCCAGTTTATCGTTCCTATTTCCGCTCCATGGGTTTCTGGCGAGGCATGGTATTATGTGCTCTTCTGATTCTCCAGACGGTATTTTCCAGGTTTCCCAGTATGTCAGACCTTAATGAACCAGAAGCACAGTGGCTCACAGATAGACCTAGCTGTCTGGCTTCAGTGGTGGTTGGATAAAGACCCTTCGAGCATGGGGCCTTCATACGCGACGTACATCGGAGTCTACAGTCTCTTTCAGGCTGCATCCATGATATTCACCCTTCTTGCCGCCTTGTAAGCATGCATATATTATGTCGGGTACGCTCAAGACTGACATTGGATCTAGCCAGCAACTGCGCATTGTCATGCCACAAACCAGCCGCTATTTCCACAGTCGTCTCTTGACAGCTACTATGGGGTGAGTCTTGAGACTCGGAACCTGGTCAATGGTACTGATGTTTTCAGAATGCCAATGCCGGCTTTCAGCAAGATTGACACAGGGTCAATCATCAACAAGTGAGCCATTCTTTTCATTCCAGTGGGCTTGTTTTGGATGAAACTGACATGGAGCAGATTCAGCCAAGACTTGCAATTAATCGACTGGAACCTACCAGTCACGTTTCTGAATGCCTCGGAAGGTAACCATGTCGTCTCTACGCGCGATGATTTGAGCTCTAACCTTTCCATCAGGTGCTCTCGTGACATTGGCACAGGTCATTATCATCGCAAGGTGCGGGCTGTCGCTGCGTTATCTGTTTCGTTATTAATATCCGTCACAGCTCCTTTCCCTACATCTTCATCGCATTCCCAGTTCTCTTCGCCGTTGTGCTCGCCATTCAGAGGTTTTACCTGCACACATCGAAGCAAGTACGCGCGATGGACATTGAGGCGAAGAGCCCGCTGCTGTAAGTTCGCAACTACAGCTTGCCCAGCACTTCAACCGCTTCTGACATTCGTGCCTTTCAATATCCAGCGATCACTTTCTCGAGACCATAAATGGCCTCCATACAGTTCGTGCATTTGGCTGGCAGCACCACATCCGCAAAAGGCACGACGCGCTTCTTAACGCATCACAAAGACCCTACTACCAGCGAATCATGGTCCAAAGATGGCTTAACCTCGTGCTCGACATGTTAGCTGCGGGAGTCGCGATTCTTGTCGTCGGACAGGCCATCAGACTGCAAACTCGGTCGACGCTGGTCGGACTCGCACTGGTCAATGTCATCTCCCTGAATGAGACCCTGCAACTGCTGATCCTTCAATGGGCGGTGATGGAGATTTCACTCGGATCCATCACACGTTTGGAAGAATTCACGGTCCAAGCCAGAACCGATCGTCTCCTCGAGCAGCAAAGCAACTTTTCTGTCCAGGCAATTGGAGGTCTGTTGACCCGCATGGCTCAATTGAATACAAAAATGTGACTGCCCGATACCAAGATGATGGTCCCGACGTGCTCAAGAACATTTGCTTGTCCATCCCCGCCGGCTTTGAAGTGGGAGTCTGCGGTCGAACGGGCAGCGGAAAGAGCACTCTGATCTCTGCACTGTTTCAGATGATCGACCTCACCTCTGGGTGTATCGTCATCGACGGTGTTGACATCGCAGAGCTCGATCTCGAATCGGTCCGCTCGCATCTGATCGGTATATCCCAGCACAGTTACATTATGCCGGGAATTTCCGTTCGAGATAATCTGCAGCTGTGGTGTGTCAACCCATCGGAGGATTCTCAACTCATCGCAGCCCTGCAGAAAGTCAATCTTTGGGGTTTGGTCTCGGAACGAGGAGGACTCTCGGCTATCCTGGACAATGAGACAATGTCTGCCGGACAGAGTCAGCTTTTTACTTGTGCGCGAGCCCTCCTGCAGTCTGGGTCGGTAGTGGTGTTGGACGAGCCGGCCAGCAGCCTCACAGCTGAGACGGCGGATTCAATCCAACGAGTAATTTTGGAGGAGTTCAAGGAGCGGACGGTAATTGCTGTCATGCACCAGATTGAGAGGTTACTGGATTTCGATATGGTGGTGGTGATGGAGGATGGTCGAGTGGTGGAGATGGGCCAGCCTCGGGAGCTGCAGGATGGTAATGGTCTCTTTCGAGGTCTTCTCGACGCAAGTCAATCAAATCGATGAATATGGTTTACCTCGGCTATGAAATGCTGGTGTGGAGCTGAGATTGATGCTCAAATGTCGGAGTATTTTGACTTTAGCTCTTTTGCTTTATTTGTTGTGGCCTGGTATACGAGTTCTGGCTGATTACTCTTGGAATCGGGCCCGAATGATATACATAAACACTGAGGGCAACTTTGACCCGTCGAGCTTGAGCTATAAGATAGCTCAGTACCTACTGAACGAAGCTCGTAGTTTGGATTCGAAGAACCTCGCACCTAAAGTATCGATTAACAGCTCCGTAGAGCCAAGAGAGTCGGTCTTTCTGCTGGGAACAACCTCGGCATCTCCTCTCGTGCGAGTGCGGGGAGACATGCGGGGAGGAGAAAGGCGGAGAAAGGCGGAGAGGAATGGAAAGGGAAACACAGCGCCTATCCATGCAAGGGGTCCATTACCTCTTGCACTTCCACCACTCCTTCCTCCGTCATCTTCATCTTCATCTTCATCCCCCCATCAGTCTCCCCTTATCGAGATTCGGGTGAAATCGTCACGAATCATCTCGCCATGGCCTCCCCGTCCATTCCCCGCAAGCTCTGGGAGCATCCCAACCCCGAATCATCCAGCATGGCTCACTTCTGCCGAGCCTGGGAGCAGGAGCTGGGCGTGTCAATCCCAGTGGGTTCGTTTCTCAGCTCCACAAAGCTCGACCTGCTAATTCTGCTAGACCTTCCATGATCTCTACCACCACTCCGTCACGAAACGCGCTACATTCTGGGACTTCTGCTGGCGATACTTCAACGTTCTGCACCAAGGCACCTATATCTCCGTTGTCGACGAGACCGCCCCCATCGATGCAGTCCCACAATGGTTCGACGGCATCCAACTCAACTACGCCGAAAACATCCTCTTTTCCGGACACGGGACACAGGAAAGCACGGTCGGGAAGGAGGATGACAAGGTCGCCGTCACCGAGGTGCGCGAGGGGGGCCACAAGGAGGCCAGACATCTCACATGGGGGGAGCTGCGCAAACGCACCGGTCGCTTAGTGCAGGCGATGAAGGCGCACGGAATCCAAAAGGGCGACCGCATCGCGGTCTGTGCCGGCAACAGCATCGACACGTTGCTCGTCTTTCTGGCCACCACGGCGCTGGGTGGGATCTTTTCGTCGAGCTCCACAGATATGGGCGTCAAGGGCATTCTCGACCGGCTGCGACAAATCAGGCCCCGCTGGCTGTTCATGGACGACCAGGCATTCTACAACGGCAAGGCCATCGATCTCCGACCAAAGATGCGGGACATCATCGCCGGAATGGAGGGTATCGCCGAGTTTAGAGGCATCGTGGCACAGCCCAGGTTTGCTGCGCAACCGGCACCGGTCGGTCACCTGCCGCGGACACTCCCGTTGAAGGTGTGGGAGGCTCTTGCGATCGGCGACACCCTTGTTTTCGAGCAGGTCGACTTCCGAGACCCCTTCCTCATCGTGTACTCGTCCGGCACCACGGGCCAGCCGAAATGCATCATGCACTCCGTCGGTGGGGTCATGCTCAACGCGTTTAAAGAGCTGTTCCTGCACAGCGAGATGGACTCGGACAGTGTGAATTTGCAGTATACCACCACCGGGTGGATCATGTATCTCTCGGTCATCAACAGTCTGCTCGTCGGGGCGCGGGCGGTGCTCTACGACGGAAGCCCTTTCCTCCCGGAGGTGGCATCTTTGATCAAATTGGCGGCACAGGAGCGGTAAGACACCTATTTCCGACGATGTGAATCCATCAAAGGCAAGTTGTTGATCAGTGCATAGATTGACACACCTGGGAATCTCCCCGCGATACCTCCTCGAACTGCAACGAGCCCACATCCAGCCCCGAGACCTAGCCGACATTTCATCCCTGAAGGTCGTCACCAGCACCGGCATGGTCCTTCCTGAGAGTCTGTTTGAGTGGTTCTACGACACAGGGTTTCCGCCTCACGTGCGACTCAACAACATCTCCGGTGGCACCGACATAGCAGGATGCTTCGGGATCTCAAACCCCTTGCTGCCAGTCTACTCTGGCGGCTGTGCCGGCATGAGCCTGGGCGTGCCGGTGGAGGTCTACGACTCCTCGATCGAAGGCGACGGTGTGGAAGGTTCCTCCGTGCCACACGGTACACCCGGGGATCTGGTCGCAACTGCCGCGTTCCCGAATGTCCCTGTGGGATTCTGGGGGGCGGGGGGCGCCGAGAAGTTCCACAATGCGTACTTCAACCGGTTCAAAGGTATGCCCCAAATGATATCTGAGGTCTGTGCGCTGACATCGGGAACAGGCGTCTGGACACACGGAGATTTCGTATCCATCCACCCCGTGACACAACAGCTGCTCTTCCACGGTCGCGCAGACGGGGTCCTGAACCCGTCCGGCGTCCGCTTCGGATCGGCGGAGATCTACCAAGTCATCGAAGACGAGTTTGCGACCGAGGTGGTTGATTCTATCTGTGTGGGCCAACGGCGACCGTCCGATACGGATGAGAGAGTGATCCTGTTCCTCCTTTTGAGGCCCAAAGTATCGTTCAGCCAGGATCTGGTGCAGCGGATCAGGACGACGATTCGTCGCAAGCTGAGTCCCCGCCATGTGCCAGCGTTTGTATTTCCGACTCCTGAGATCCCGGTACGCCTCTCCCTGTCGACACTTCTTGGCACTTACTAACGCAATGGTGTAGACAACGGTCAATGGCAAAAAGGTCGAGCTTCCCGTCAAGCAGATCGTCTCGGGGAGAATCATCAAGCCCTCCGGGACGCTACTCAACCCCCAGAGTCTGGAGTACTATTATAAATTCGCGAAAGATGAGGCGCTGCAGCCACGAAGCAGCAAGCTGTGAGAACATATTCTACTCAATTAGAGAAATTGCGGCATGGTTGGAACAAACAAATTAAAAATGAGATGAACTTGATCCGTAAGGAACTAGTCTAATTATAAGATAAATGCAGCGAAAGATGCGGCCACTGCTCCGAGCATGAAAGAAGGAGCGCGAGCCACGGCACCGCCAGTAAATAGCGCGTTCACAGCGCTGGAAGTAGAGCTGCTAGTGCTGGATCCGGTGCCCGTGGACACCGTAGCAGCCAACGTAGCCGTCGAAGGTGACGAGGCCGCATCGACGACGCTGGAGCTGCCGCCCGCCGGTGGACGAGACGCAGTCTGCATTGCGATTGCGGCGTCCGTGTACTTGCCGACCATTCCATGCACGGATTGACCAGCCGTCTCAGCGTTAGGCGCAGCAGGGACTGGGACGGCAGTGCCGACGGCAACGAGCGTGTATGTCTTCGTTGCTGTGCTCGTAGCAGAACACCCCAGCTGGCCAGCCGAGCACTCTTCCACCGTCGCTGCGTTGCCTGCCGCGTATCCCGCACTCGTGGTAGCGGGGAGAGTTGTAGTTTCTCCGTGGACGTGGATCGCATCGACACCCTCCGGCCCTGAGCTAGTACCAGTATCCACACCGGTAGATGTGGCATGCACGGGCATCACGAGTGTCTCGGTGGTATAGTACGTGGTCCGTGCGGGGGCATCGCACACTTGCCCCGGAGGACAGGCGGTGATAGTGGCGATGCGCGTGCTGAGCGTTGTGGATGCCGGAGCTGTGGCAGTCCCCTGGCCAAGATTCACAGCCGTGCCTGTGGAGCCTAGGGCGTTCGAGTCGGCGACTTGGCCGGCGGAGCTGAGAGTTTGCCCGGCTGAGCCAGTCTTCGACGCTTCGGCAATGGGACAGATAGTAGTAGACACCACGAGGGTCTCGGTGGTCAGGTACGTGGTCCTGGCGCGGGCTGGACAGTTGGTGACTGAGCCGGCACACGCGGTGATGGTCGCGGTGCGGGTGCTGAAGATCGTCGAGGTGGTGTATTCTTCGTCGAACTGGGTAGAGCCACTCGCGCTGTGGATGTTGGGAGCGAGACTGGTGGAGGGTGTCTGGCTACCGGAAGCAGTGGGGATGGTGGCTTCGTCGGTGCGTGTCACGGTACAGATTGTCGTGGATGCAACGATCGTCTCGGTGGTTAGGAAGGTCGTCTTGGAGCGAGCGGGGCAATCGGTCACTGAGCCGGGGCAGGCGGTTACGGTGGTTGTTCGCGTGCTGAAGATCGTCGATGTGGTGAACCCTTGCCCTTTAGCGGATGTGTCACTGTGAGCTGCGCTCGCTCCTGCGTTGACTCCAGTGGGCTGAGGGATGCTAGTCTTAGTCACCGGGCAGACTGTCGTCGACATGACGATAGTCTCTGTTGTTAGGAACGTGGTACGCGATCTGGCGGGGCAGTTGGCCACAGAGCTAGGGCAAGCGGTGATGGTAGCTGTTCGCGTGCTGAAGATTGTCGACGTGGTGAAGCCCTCCTCCTGAGGACTTTCGCCGTGAGCTGCGCTCGCCGCATTGGTAGCGGTAGGCTGTGTAAGACTGGTCTCAGTAACTGGGCACACTGTCGTCGACAGCACGATAGTCTCTGTTGTTAGGAACGTAGTACGCGATCTGGCGGGGCAGTTGGTCACCGAGCTAGGGCAAGCGGTGATGGTCGCCGTCCGGGTCGTCAGTACCGTTGAGGTGGTCATTGCAACTTCGCTGGATGTCGTAGCCTGTCCCGTGCTGGATGCTGCCGTTTCAATGGGAAGGGAAGTCTGTTTTGTGCCTGCAGAGCATATCGTGGTACTGGAAGTGATCGTTGCGGTGACTGAGATAGTCGTGGTTCGGCGGGTGGGCCGGCCAGAACTGAGCGCGGAGCTTGACGGGATCGAAATCCCGCCAAGTGAGCTGCTGGGCCTGATAATGGGAGTGCTTGAAGAAGCATGGGATGGAATGGATGAGCTGCGAGCGATGGAGGATGCGACCGACGAGGACGAGGGAATGACAGGAGCCGTGGACGAGCTAGGACGCGATGATGCAGATGGTAGAATAACAGCTCCCGAGCTCGGAGTTAAAGATCGGACTGGTGAGGACACGCTGGACGGCGCCACAGACGCAGATGAAGCCCCCACACTAGAGTTAAGAGCAGACGATAAAGTCGAGACAGAGGAAGCGGACGGCGAGGAGATGGCCACCGAAACAGCAGCAGATCCGGTCGAAACACGAGCGATCGATGCACTTTGGCTAGGAAGGACCACCGACGAAGGAGTAGCATTCGTCGTCGGGGAGGGCGTCGGGGTGCTGGAGAATGTCACTGTATACGTCGTGGTATACTCGGTGGTCACATACTCGGTCGAATACGCAGTCTCCAAGGACGCAGTCACGGTGCCCACACAAGGGTTGGTGGTATGCCACGTTATCGCCTGATACCCGGCGCCGGATCCGAGGGTCTGGCTGGCGGCCGCCGAGATGAAGTAACAGGTTCTCGCCGCCGGGTCATAGTTGATCGCATTACACATGTTCGGTACCAGTCCGCAGACTTGCACGCACTGATTGATATTGTTGATGTACTGACCCAGCGCTGACAGCTGCGTTGCAGTAGAGCCTCCGACGACCGAGGCATCCGTGCAGTATTCTTCATACCAGGTGCCGGAACGCCACCAAATGTAATTCGAGCACTGGGCCGAAGACGGAGGGGTGGTTGTGGCAGGAGTGCAGGTAGCGGCGGTGGACAGGACAGTGGATGTGCTTGTAACGACATTGGTGAGGGTGGTTGTGTAGGAAGACGTGAGGGTTGCAACAGTCTCACCTCCGACACTCGCTCCAGGTCGAGCGATGGTCAGGGCTAGACTGCTCGGGGCCAGTGCTGACAGCAGCAGCAAGCCATTGGCGAGTGAAAGGCCCATTGTGAGCAACGAGTGACGATTCCTCGTGGGATTGAAAGAACGACAACGAGGATATGGTTGCAAGAATGAGGGAAGGTTTGAATGAAGATCGCAGAGAAATAAGAGCAATCGAGGAGCAGATCCCGGGGCCTGGGTAGATTTCTGCTCATGTGGAGGCCATCGTGTCTGGAAAAGAGCGGGACTCCACCTCGTCCAATCCTGCTCCGATGCAAATTCGTATAAACCCTTCTTCTCAGGAACCGGTGGAGCTATTCTGAGTCTGGTGAATAATAATTACTCGGTTGAGCTAGAGTCATAACGTGGCGTGGGCTAGAGACTGGAGCCGAAGGCAAGTAGGGCAAATTAGGCCGACAAGACCGATTTCCAGTCTTGGCGGGATGCCTACCAACACAATCCCTTGAGTTCGATAGGGGACCCGTTCCGTAGCGATTGATCAAAGCCCAGTGATGCTTTTTCTAGAACAACGTCTTGACTTCGTGGTTGGACAGTTGAACTAGCTAAATCCTCGGCGTAGACAACTCGCCTGGTGAATCACCTCGGATCAACCTCGGATCACGTGGCCTTGTTTTCGTAGCCATGCCGACACCTTCCCGGTGTCTGAGAATGGTTCTACAATCAAGACCTTAAATATTATCTCGTCAGACTGCAGCACTGCAATTTCACCAAGGATTCGTTCAATCGTTTCATGCATGGTAGAGAACGTTAGTAAATCTTCTTGTTTCACCCGGATATATTTATCGCCTGTATACAAGCAAAGACGAAGCCTGAGGCGAAGCCCTATCCCTTGTCTGCTAACGAACATGTACCTTTAGGCAGATTCTCCCGAAGGGGGAATCTGCCGCTGCGTGATGCTGTGTTTGGGAAGATGAAAAGAAGGGGGGTCTGGGGGTTCTCCCCCAGAATGCTGCTGCTGCTGTGGCTGCCACCAAGGATGAAACCAAGGCCGCATTGCATTCAAATCAAACAGCTTTTGTCTCGAGCCCGTCCCGATGCGCAGTCGCAACCCCCCACTGCACATGCCCGTACCCGTTGGCAGCCATATAGTCTTTCCACTCCTGATCTCCATTGTCCAGCTCCGCGCTGGGATCCTCCAGCACAAACCACGCGAGCAAGGCCCCAACCACCGCAAACCCGGACCCGATAAGGAACACCGCCTGAGTCCCATGGAACTCGTCGTCGCCCCAGCTGGCCAGGATCGGCTTGAACACCTGCGTTCCGATAGCCGCGCCGGCCTTGCTCCACGCCGCGGCAAATCCGACCCCGTGTCCGCGCAACGCCGTGGGGAAGCTCTCGCTTGCTGTCAGCACAATCGTGGAACCGGGGCCAACCTCCCCAAGCGTGAGGAAGACGCCATACAACACAATAAAGAGGGGAAGGGAGCTCTCGATGTACTTCAGTGCGCCGCCGAGGATGAAACCCAGGATCGCTTGGAGCAGGAAGCCCAGCGCCATCGTCTTGCGGCGACCAATTCTGTCCGACAGGAATCCGCCGATGAAGGCGCCCGGGATGTAGAAGCAGTTGATCAGCGTTCCCCAGGCCATGGTCAGAGCCAAGGACGAGGTTGGGTTCACGCGACCAACGATCGTGGAGGAGAATAGCCCGAAGGGGTAGGAGATGTAATTGTACCTGTTGTGGGTGTCCACCGTCAGCATGTGTATGGGTTATGAAAGTTAGGGCTGCTCACAAGAACCACGATCCACACACCCCCAGCAACGGCCGCCAGTATTTCTTCAACGCAAGCGTATAAGGTATCCTTTGCTCAACCATGGCACTTTTCTTATACGCCGAGCTGACCGCCATGCGATAGCGGAACCAGAAGATCGACAGCGGCGGGATAGCACCCAGCGCCAGAGAGATGCGCCACACAGCATTGTAGTGTCGCACCTGCTGATGGAAACACAGCAACAACAGCAAGGGAACCAGGGCGCCGAATGCGAATCCCAACGACGCGGATAGATCGGCGATCATGGCGAAGATGAAGCCTCGCTTGCTACGAACGGCGGATTCCTCGTCTGTTGCTTCGGCTGCGCCGGCGCCGGCTACGGGATATTCCCTATCGGCTCATGTTAGACCTACCTTGCACGGAATATGGGTGAAGGCGAGCAACACTCACCCTCCAGCACCCACCCCCGCAATCCCCCGAGCAATGATCAACATCCACAGTATCCCGTCTTGACTCGTCCCACTGGCCCCAGCACTCAATGCGATGCCCACGACCAGAATGGCAGTTGTCAGGACAGCGCCGGTCTTGCGGCCCAGCTTGTCGGAGATATAGCCAAACGACAGCATCCCGATGATCATCCCGACCATGAAAGCATTCGACAACCGCGACGCGACAGCCGTAGTCAGAGCGTTGGGGTAGATGACCCCCATGATGAGTTCGAGGTTGCCGATGATGGATGCGTTGAACCCATCGGAGCCGATGGCGAGCCCGGAAAAGATCACCATCAGGACAACCGATAGTTTCGAGGCTTTGGGGCGCAGAGCCACCTCTGACGTGGCCGGGACGTCATGGATGCTTGCTCGAACCTTCTCTTCATTTGCGTCGTGCTTCGATTGGGACGGCGAAGGGCGAACCTCTTCGGATACTGTAGGTGTGTCCATGGCCATCGGTTGGGGTTCAACAGCCGTAGGAGCGCCACGGTAAGTCTGTATTTATGCCTCCATCCCGACCGTGCCGTGCCTTGGCCGACGCCAGATAAGAAAGACGGTTTGGGAAGGGCTGCATGATGGTCGAGGATTGTGACCAACTACTCTGCGCGCTGATAAGACTCGAGGCTATAGGACGGGATCTTCCCCGCACGAGAGGACGCGGCCAGAGGTGGCGGCATTAACTAACTTGGCGAGCGTGAGGGGAAGTTGCTATGATAAGATACGCTGAGGAGATAAGAGGCACTACACTGGAGAGTAGAGAACATGCCACCTTTGCCGATAGGTCTCTGGCTCGGATTGAGTCCACGGTAGTCCATCTCATTTGATATCAACTCAGTAACCATATATCAGGTCAAAACATTACACAGTTCTTGACTTCTTCATAGGTCTCCGCGGAGTATAAATAGTGGACACCCGTCGATGGAAATTTAAAATCTATGCAAAACACAACAAAGGTTCCATTTACATGGTGCGATGCCATTAGCTGTTCAACTAGGTGCGGGGAGCCCAGTCGTGATTGTTTGATAGCAAACATCGCGTGTATCAGACCGGCGTGACAACATACGTCTCCCCAACCTTCGTCCTGACCGGCCCCGTGTAACCCTGCCCGTTAATCGCAACCGAGGAGCCATTCATACACCGCAGCTGCAACTCCCCACCAGCACGCGAGGTGATATTCGCATGAACCAACTTCCCCGCCTCCCACTGGATGTCAACTATAAAGTTGCCCCTGGCCACCAACCCCGTCACTGATCCCTTGGGTAAGGCAGATGGCAAAGCCGGCAGCAGATGGGTGATCCCGGCATGGCTCTGCAATAGCATCTCCGTGACGCCACTCACGAACCCAAAGTTGCCGTCAATCTGGAACTGGTACGGGCCGACCGGGCCTTCATTGGTGTTGTACAAGTTATAGGGAGTGGGGTATACCGCAAACCATTGGGTCAATTGCTCCCACGCGTCATCACCGCGAAATACCCAGGCATACTGATTGATCAGCCAGGTCCGAGACCAGCCGGTTGTCCCAGACCCGTGGGAAACACGTCGGTCCAGGAGCACTTCGGCCGCAGTCCCAAGGGTGCTGTTCAACAGCGGACTGAATTGCCGACCGGGCATCAGAGCCCACAGGGGTGAAAGGTGTTTCTGCCCGATGGCCTTTTCTTTGTACTCCTTGCGCCACTCCAGGATCTGTCCTAAAGAGCCGATCAACGGGGTTTGGATGAGGGGCAGAAATGCTTTGGCCGTCTGCACGGCTGTGCCGTTTATCCCTAAGATCGAGGCTGCATCTAAAAGGCTTCGAAACACCTCGGTCATCAGCTGGTTGTCCATGGCGGGGGCTACGTCGACGCTCTGCGCCGCGCCAGCGACAGTCTCATCAGCAGGAACATAGAAGTTATTCTCCGGCGATAGAGATGGCCCCGTGACTTGGTAGCCCTGGTAGGGGAAGGTGTAGCACTCGTAGAACGCAGCAACTTTAACGAAGAACGGATATGCCACTTGGCGGAGGAATGTTGTATCCCCGGTGAAGCGATAGTGATCCATCATGTGCCACGCCAGCCATGCAGCCCCCATCGGCCACATGGTGGACGCAGTGTAGTTGTCCGTTGGCGCAGGGTCTCCCCACAGATCCAGGTTGTGATGGAACACGGTGCCAGGACAGCCATACATGCGCTTGGCCAATGACTGTCCACGAACATCGGCAAATGCCATCAAATCAAACAAGGGTCCCTGCGTCTCGATCAAATTGGTTGGTCCGGCGGGCCAATAGTTCATCTCAATATTGATGTTGATGGTGTATTTGCCTCCCCACGGAGCCGATGTGGAGTTATTCCAGATACCCTGTAGGTTCGCTGGCAGCGATGTCACATTGTCTGTATTGCGCGATGAGGCGACGAGTAGGTGTCGACCAAAGTTGAACACTAGCACAGTGAGTTGTACGTCGGCAGATGTATTGCGGGCAATGCTGATGCGCCGGTCGGTTGGAAGACTCGCCCACCCATTTGGCGACGTGCCCAAGTCAAGTGTAACCCGGTCCAAGAGTGATTTGGTATCAGCAACAGCTGCTGCTCTCACAGCGTCATACCCAAGCGTGTAAGCATTGTTTATCTTCTTGCGCATCTCCTTCTCTCGCGCATCTCGTGATGTATATCTGAAGTTGGTTTCCACGTCGAAATACATCTCCAGGGTTGTTGCATTATGTATGAGTAGAGAGGAACCGGATACGTTGAACATTCCTGCAAATGTTAGCAACTGTATGTGCCTGTCAGAATGAACGTACCTGTATCGGATTTGAAGCGAGCTTCGCCCGTCCATTCAATTGGATCCTCACTCTCGGATTGTCCACTGGTGCCGATTAGAGTAAGAGAATTGTTGCCTTTGGCCACATTGGCCGAAAGCGACTTGATATCCTTGATCCGGGTCATTGTGGCGTTGATGTTCAGTGCTCCCCGTCGGCTGGCCTTAAATCGCGCCACCAGAACACCTTGCGGGTAGCTGGCGACATACTCTCGGCTGCGAAGTCAGGTATCAGTGACAAGTTGCATGAAGCACCTCTTGTTGAAAAGCTTACGTATAGTTCACCCCGTTTATACTGTAGCTTACCCCGGCAATTCCTTCCTTCGTGTCAAGCCAACGGACATAATTTGACATGTCCACATCAGGATGGCCGAAGTCCAGATTGACGTTGCCAAAGTAGCTGTAAGCCCGCGGCGAGTTGTTGGTTGGGATCATCTGGGCCATGGTCAAGACGTTACCTTCAGTAATGTTGCCATTCAGCAGAAGCTCCCGAACAACAGGCTCGATTTCCGTCGCATTGAGTGGTGTCCGATCCTGAAAGGGCCCCGTCCAGATGGAGTTCTCATTGATGCCGACGACCTCTGCTCCGCCACCATAGATTGTCGCTCCGATTCGACCATTGCCAATCGGCATCCCTTCTTCAAAGGTAGGCCATCGGCCGGGTTGGGTGAACCACATGTATCTGCTGCCATCGAGGGCAGCACTCACATGAGCGCATGCAAGCGAAAGAAGTAGGAGTACTCGACAGGACATGCTGTGGGCTCTTGTCGATCCAAATTGAGATCAAAGCGCTGCGGCCATCGCATCGGTTTTCGAAACATCCAATCAATCATTTATATACCATCAAGAGGAGCCCGTATTCTCGCAGCTACCCGGAGAGAATGTCGAGTTGCGGTAGGTGGACTAACGTAACCCCGCAGTACTCCTGAAGATTCGACATACTGAAACATCTGCAGGGTTCGTGCAATTTAGGCTGAATCGGGACAGCCCCATCCGGTGCGATCGGCGGGGGCGGCGTGTCCTGATGCACGGATATGCCGTCCCTGCAGCACTTGCCCCGATCTATGTGCTACCACACCAAGCCCACGTCTGCTCATGCTGTGTTGATTGTGGGCTCAGGGATGTTGACCCTGTCACATGAGTCTGGTCTGAGGGGCTGCAGCTCGCTCAGAAAAGCATGAACGGGCCGATCTCGCTCTCATTCTCCCGAGCATACCTGATCCATTGCCCCATACCCCAGTAGTCCGGTCGAGCCCAGAGGGCCCGTAAGAACTGCAGTACAGTGTGGTTACACCATGCGCCCGTCGCGGCGATTAGTTCCACGAAGGCTCTCTGGATTGTGCTTTGTCTGTGCTCATCGCCCCAACATTCGGTACCCACAATGAATAGGGGGAAGAACAGTACATGCGAGAATACATGCGAGGTGTCTTTCACGAGGCCTTGAAGGTCTTGGAACAGGATGGACAGGTGGAGAGTGATGGCCCACTCTGCATGTCCGCGAGGCGCCAGGGCTTGTTCAACATAAATTAGAATAGCATAGTAATGAGCTTTCACCATAGCATTAAAGTGGATGCGGGTGGCCTCATCATGCCGCGAAGCAGAAGCCGCAGTGACACAGACCTGCCTGTAAGCTTGTTCCACTCTTTCTCGCCACATGCCCATCTCGTGCTCGCCAAGCCCGTACCCCTCGCCATGGAGCTCATAGTTGGAACGCTCCACTGCGGTGATTTCACTAATCAGAATCGTAAAGGCCCAGAGACGGTCTTCGGGCCTTGACTGCAGGGGGCATTTGGTTCTGGGTTGCTGCGTCGAGAAAGACACGAGATTCTTGAAGATCTCGAAATCTTCCACCTCTTTGACAACGAATCTCGACAAAGCATCGTTGGACTGCCGGCCACTGTTTCGCGACTGGTTCCATTCTATCATCGCACGGCACGCTTGCAGGTGCACATTCCAATTTGTGGACTCTGGGATTAACATCTCTTCGTAGCAGAGGGCGACTGCCGTGGCAAGGATGATTGTGAGGGCGGAACACCCGCCGCCTCCGGCCACGGTATCCTTCCGAGGATGGTGACTGACTTCGCGGGTGATGGCTTGATTCAGAGCCTGGAGAGTGCGGTTTCTTAGAATAGGGTAGGCTCTCTGTGCCACAAGTGCCTGTGCGCTGCCAGGGGCGGATGTAACTGACAGGTGAGCGGCTGCAAGGCTAAGGAGCGACAGTCGGAGAGAGGCGGAGCGACAGGTAAGTGGAAGAATGGCCTTTCTCCACGGGTTATCCACACTATCCAGCCAAGTCAAACGAGGAACCACGATAACGTGAAAGTAGTGGAGCAGTTTGTCACAGAAGTCCGTCGACGAGTGGTGTTGTACGAGAATATGATCACCGGTTGGAGACGGGGCGCGCCAGAGAGCATCTTGCGATGACTTCGCATCGGCCTCGGGGCGGATTGCGACCGCCAGCTCATCTGATAACCTTTCCGCTGTTGTGCTGGTGTCTTTGATGGAAGAACTAGGCTTATGGGTAATCGTCTGGGTCCATTTCAGCTGAAAGGCGTCGAAGCCGGGACAGGAGAGACTGCGGGAGGTGCATTTGTGACAGTGAGGGAGAGTGCGGTCGCATCGGATGCGCCGCTTGGTGCAAAGGCGACAGTCTGCGGCATTCGTGGTCGTGTCAGGTCGAAGACTTCAGCAGTGGCTGGGCTGGAACAATCCAGAAAGCAGGAACACTCACCTTTGGATGCGAGTGAGCGATCAGAGGGAAGAGAAGTGATGCGAACGTTTTTCATATCGCCAAATTGGTGGCCTCTGCAAGGAGAAGAGGAGGAGGAATGCTCAGGCTGACAGAAAAGCATCAGCCGGACGGAGTAGGAGAGGAGGAGGACTCAGAAACAACAATCACAATCTCCCCGGTCGGCGATAAGCACACGCCGCGCCCCCCCCCCCCCCAACCCGGCACGTGCCGCCCAAAAGGGAATAGTGTCTAGTGCCTGAGGCATGCAGGCAGGGACCCAGAACCTGCTCGTTCTAGGGTGATTATTGGTACAGTACAAAGAATCCTACCCATACTAGACAGGATTCACACCACTAGTTCATCTTCCTCTTCTTCCTACCAAAGTAGCGTGACGTATCTCCCAAAGGCAAGTCCACAATCGAGTCTTGCAACAGTAGATGAAACACAATATACCACCCGGCTAACCCGGCCACAAAGCACGACGCTCCTCCGGTCTTCTTCAGCGCAATTGAAGCCGCATGGTGTCCGTCCGCCTCGGCAAAGTAGCTGGCAGCCACGGTCAAGAACCCCAGGTCCACCAGGAAGAACACGGCAATATAGGCGAGATTGCTGGGTAGAGAAGCAATGAGGAAGGTAAACACGAAGACCGTCCAAAGAATCATGAAGAACCCTAGCGCATTGTTGTACTGCACAGTATCGCCGCCATATGCTTGCTCAATTCCGAAAGCCGGAGTCAGAATGGCTCCATACCCTGCATAGAAGAGTCCTTCGCTTAATTAGTATATATTGCACTTGTGGTGGGTCCGGTCCGGTTGGGATGATACTCACCAAATGCACTAAACACAGTGTAGGCAAATCCATTCCCGATGGAGAATTCCCACTGGGCCGTTACCACCAGGCCAAAGGCCGCAATAAAGAAGAAGTTGGCAACAAAGACGTTGGTCGTGGTCACTCCACGCCATTCCATCAGGCTCAAGGACAGCGTCGTCAATGTCGTGCCGAATGCGCCCAAGGCGAGAGCCGACTGCAGGATGGTTAGAACTATAGCTTTTGGATGACGGGCGTAACCCACTCCGGCGCCTAGAGACCTCGCTGGCTTGGACTCGTCCAGATGGTGGGAGCCTTGTTGCTCTATGTCCACTGCCGATGAGGTGCCCTTGGCTTCGGTGGTGATGTGGTCGATTGAGTCGGTAGCAGACATAGTGACTGATGTCCACAGCAAGGTGGGTGATTTCGATCGTTGTGTTGGTATGGCTTGGGCAACGACCACCTGCGGCTACTTCAAGTATGTGTAGCCACCAGTACCCGTATGAAGACTTGACGTCCCATGTTGCGGTTTAGCACATCATTGGTAACTGCAATGACGAGAGATGAACAGACGATCTATCCTTGGTAGTGAATCAAGTCGATTTACACTTTGGGGGTCTATGGATGAGAACGAATTCGCTAATGCGGTCTTCCGGCCCAATACGTGTGCAATGTATACATCGCATTGGAGCTGTCGGCCGATACCGATCGCCTAAGAAAGTCTCGGATGAGGTGCTTGGCTGAATTTCAGGGCAGATTAAGCTTATTTGCCCGCCCTCGGTGGCCCTCCCGAAACTCGCTTCTGCAATGCTGCAACTTGAAAATGCTAAGCCTTCGATTTGCGACCGACGCATCCTCTTTTCGTGTCCGCCGTAGAGAGAAAGACCAATAGTGATCGTGAATGGTGTGCTATACATCTGTGCGTGCTGGGCTCCTACTTCGTGGACATGGAAACCAGGGGCGATCTTTGCCCGGATCCTTGGGGAAGGTACTGTACTCAGCGTAGGCGGGAATTGCGTGCTCGAGAGCCGGCTTACCTCATCCCATGCGATCTTGAGCTAGCATCAAGCAGTCTGCAATTTATCCAAGTCACCACGTCTTACCTCAAGACGAACTTCCAAGATCGCTTCCATTGCAATGACTTCTTCAGAGAACCTCCTGTATACGAACGGGACTCCTGACGGAGAGACAGGGCCACAGCCTCGGCTTTCATCGCCCGGCCATGTCTTATCAGCCTTATCGTCCCGTTGCAGCGCAAATGGCCTGACTGTCGCCTTACTTAAACCTCATCCTAGGTTAACATTTATTGTGAAGACGATAATCAGTAAGTTTCCCTGTAGAGGTATGCCTAAGTAGCACTACGTCAGATCAACGCGCGGTGCGCCTTGCAATGATCATCCATCTTGATGCGCTTTGGCCTAATCCTAGACGGACGGGGATATGTATCTTGCTTTCGGAGGAAGCCCACGACACTCAACCAAAATGACGGGAGCATTATGATAAAGCTCAGGGATGGATGATATCGAATGATATCCTGATTCTGGGTGGTCGGATGGTTGGTCAAATTAGCTGAGTTCTTTGCGTGTAAACAAGCCTGGTGAATCGCCTTGGATCACGTGGCCGGATCACTCAGGAACGCCGACGGGTTACTGGCAGATTGTCGAAAAGTAGAGCCCTGACCAGGTTGAATAGGTATAGAAATCCGAGATATTTTAGGAAACCACTTATTTATCAGTTGAGCGACTGAGCAGATAGTTTGGGCAGGCGAGACTCAACCCCGGGCCCGCGTACGGCCCGGGGAGCGAGGACAACTGCCAAGAACGCGATCAAAGAACAAGCCCAGACAGAGGGGTCTTGGCATTGTGAGTTGCAAGCTGCGCCTGGGCGAGCCCATACTCGAATAGAGTCCCAGGCTCTCAGCTGCAAGTGGAGCACAAGTGACGGGATTTGAGGTCTCCGCCAATCACCGGTACCTAGGCAACGCGGCGATATTCTTAGCATCGACCGACTTGGCGCTAAACAAGTCAGGACGGGAAAAGTGGCCCACCAGCAAAAGTGGAGGGGAGAAATCGTTCAAATCTCCCCTCGAGCCAGATGGTCTCCTGGATGGTCTCCAGGTTATGTCTCTACCCCACATAACAGGTGGTCGGTCATGTCAGATTTGATGGCCTCATAGGGAATCATGACTATTGGGGCGCGGTGGGGAGGACAAAAGAGTCCGTCTGTCCAGACTGCTGATCTGGGAGACTCCCAAATTCGGAATTGGTCGTCTGTGGCTGGTTCAAGTTATCCGACTTGGAGTCCATTTCGCTCGTTTTCTAGGCAGCGTATAACCAGACAGAGGAGAAATCGAGGTGGGAGATCGACGCGAGTTCAGCGCCCACCGGGTCAAGAATGGATGCAAGGTGCTTTGCTCTGTGCTTACATTGCCACGGCGATTGCATGTGTGAATTTAATCTTTATCCTTATCGCGATGGGAATCGGCTATTCCAAACGAACCACCGCGCACAGCTTCTCGCGACTCCGATTGTACCACGGTCACTGTAATCGAACCAGTCACTGGGCGACCGCCATCCACATCATCATCAACCTCTTTTCCACTGCCCTACTTGCGGCCAGCAGCCATGCCCTGCAGTGCGTGGGAGCCCCCACCCGCGAGGATGTGGACCGGGAACACAAGCAACGCCGCTGGCTGGATATAGGAGTTGTGAGCTGGCGCAATTTCCGCATCATGAACCCTAAGCGGAAAGTCCTGTGGCTGTTGCTTCTTCTCAGCTCAACCCCCATCCATATGCTGTGTGTCAATGATGCCCGTGCCCTATCCCTAATCACGCTTTCCCGTATCCCGCACTGACCTGCGTCTATACAGCTACAACTCCGTGGTATACGCCTCGATCGTGACCTACAACTATGCCATGGTTTTGATCCCGGACGATCTGTCTCCGACCGAGTCGCTGGTCCAGGCGAACCATTCGGCCAACTTCTATGCGGCAGTGGGGAGCACCCCTGAGGCGATTCGCACCGAGATCTTCAATGGAACTTTCACCAACATGACCAACGAAGAGTGTCTCGACAGCTATGATGTGCAATATAACACTCAACAGTCTACCCTGATCTTTGTGGCCGACCGACGGTCTTTCCGGAACCAAAGCAGCTTTAGCGCGATGATGGATGGTTATACCTCCATTTACGACTACACGAATGACGAAGGGACTGCGGTCGCTAAGACCGCGATAGCGAACAATACGTGGACAGCGCAGGGGCTCAGCTGGAATCTCTACTCGTCTGCCATCGCATACGAGAACCCTGATGGGTTCCCCCAAATCCCGATTTCCCACTGCATGGCCAAGCGTGCAGTCCAACGATGTGAGCTGCTTTTCAGCCCGTCGATCGCCCTTGCAGTGATTGTCAGCAATATCGTCAAGGTTGTATGTATGTTCTTGGCCGCTCGAACGAACCGTCCAGGGATCTTACTGCGAGTGGGCGACGCCGTCGCCTCGTTCCTCAACCAGCCTGATCTCACTACCCAGAACCGGTGTCTCATGTCGCGGGAAGATATGACCCATGGTCCTGACCCCTGGGAACTCGCACCCAGTGGTGGGAGTATCTTTCGGCGCTGGCTGTGTTCCCTGCGGTCGCAGAGAACGATGGACATCGCTTTGGTGAACATCTCCACGAATAGCTCCACCTCCCCAAGTGAAGGGGTGTTGGAGGGACTTCGTCCCAGGAAGTTGTCCGGTCGGAAGTTCTGGTTCCAAGCTGCGAGTTGGAAACGATGGGTGCTTGCTCTCTTCCTGTCAGTCTTTCCCGACCCAATGAGTTGGATTTATACCCTAACATAATCTTCCCAGGTTCTCCGCCTGTATCGGCGTGCCCAGCTGGCTGTATCACGCCCTCGTCACCGAAGCAGAATGGTCTCTGGAAGACCAGTGGTACCTGGGATTCGGGAGTCCGAACTACGAAACCGGGCTATATTTCGGCACCAGCAACATCCTGGCCCTGGTTCTCTTGACCAACTCCCCCCAACTGGTGTTTTCCATCTTGTACTTCGTCAGCAAAAACCTGCTATCGTGCATGCTGGTCACGGCCGAGTACAACGACTATGCGACGCAGCGCAAGCCTCTCCGCGTTTCTTGGCCCCGGGTCCACCAACGATCCTCCTACTACCTCTCCTTGCCGATCCGATACAGCGCCCCGTTGTTTGTCATGTCTGCCGCCCTGCATTGGCTCCTCACCGAAAGCTTCTACTCCGTCGACTGGAATGTGTACAACGTGTCTGGGGAGGTCGATTACGATGACTCCCCCGATGGATGTGGCTTTTCTCCGATGGCTATTCTAATGACTATCATCCTCCTCGGGGTGGCGTTGTGCGCACTGCTACTGCTGGGTGCGCGTCGCTTCAAGTCTCCCATGCCGTTGGCAGCGCATTGCAGCGCCGCCATCAGTGCTGCTTGTCATCCCCCGCCCGAGGATGCGGGCGCTGCTTTCCAACCGGTCATGTGGGGGGAGGTCAGTCATCCCCAGAACGCCACCCATGGTCATTGTACCTTTACATCACATGCAGTGGCTACCCCCTCCTTGTCCCGTCTGTATACTTAATGATATAAATGTCTTTATTCTGGAATCTCTCTTCGTGGCTGAAGCGTACAGTAAAGCCCTGTCCATCATCTAGATGACCGAAATCGGCTCATTCCATCCCCCCCCCCCCCTCCTCCTGCCGACCCAACGGCGTCATATTCAAGAGTTGATAGGTGGACAAGATCGCCTCGATCCCTCGATCCGACGTCTCATATGTGTGAAAGACCTCGTCTTCTTCCCTGATGAACACACTCACCCCGAAAAATCCATTGCTGGGCTTCCAAGTGATGGTCTCTCCGTTTGCCTCCGCATGCTTCCATGCCTGATGTGTTTTGGTCGAGCTGTGAAATGGAAACTTCCACCCCAGTCGGGTTGCATGCTCGGTGATCCCTTGCAAGGGGGTGGGCATAACAGCGACGAAGGAGGTGTCTCTGCTGTGCAGGTACTGGAGAGGGGGAATATGGTCCATGCAGGCGTGCGCGATGCCGTCGTGGCCGTCGGCCTCGGTCGCCAGCATCACGTGCCAGAGGATCAGTTGTTTGCGCCCGTCAAAGAGATCAAGGAGGGACTGTTCCCCGTGCACCGTGTCGAAGCAGAAGCGAGCTGGATCGTCGACCTTTACCATGGGAAGTCGGCGACGGGCCGCAGCGACGGCTTGCGAGAGATACGTCACGGCCTTTTCATCTTGCAGGAGTTGGGCGCGGGCGGCTTTGAACTCTTCGGGAGAGACAATTTCTTGTGGAGGCTCATCCATAGTCGGTCTGGACATCTTGGTATTGTGGGAAGCAGCGAGAGATCGATGGTAGCGTGAAATGTGGTCCCCAGGTACTCGTAAACCTTCTATAAATGAATGATGTCAAGGGATGGTTGCTTGTCATGGCATCCACAATCCTTGCTTGTAATTACATGTGATCTTGCATAACCTGTTGTACAAACTGACGTATCCCCACTGACTAGCTGACTCATGCACGATCTCCGGTAGCCTCAACATCCCAATTCGAGCTACATCTATGCTCCCTGGTGGCAAGATCAACGCAAGGACTTGCATAGCTACTTTGAGGCCCTTCTTCTAGCCCAAATGAAACTTAGATTGACGGTGCATGAACTACGTAGCCCTACAGTCCTAGGCGGGGTTGACTTCCGTGTTGACCCCCCGTGACGTGAACAGACATTCGTGTATGCTTCCAAGACCATGACATTCTCGGTTACTGGGCACTGTTTAATCCACTGGTACGTAAGGTAGTTTAGGCTTCGAACGAACACATACGACCACAGGGTGTGGAAAACAGGGCTTCCCGTCCGCTCAGCCGTACTTAAGCCACACGCCGGGAGGTTAGTAGTTGGGTGGGTGACCACCAGCGAATCCCTTCTGTTGTATGTTTTTGCCTTTTTGCTCAGCAAGCTATTTATAAAAACCTTGTCAGAGATATTCAATAATAAATACTCGCTGTTCTTGGTTTTGATCTGCTGTAAGAAGAGCACCCGTGGCAGCTCCGATGAGCAGGTAGAATCGTTTGCGTGAGTGATGGGCCGCCGGCGGCGGCATTCCCAAGACAAGCGGTCAAGATGTTTGATTCCATGCAAGAGAAAACCCCCTCATCGTTCCCACTGCAGATTACTCAGGCAAGCAAACAAGAGACTCTGGTCCAGAAGAAGAAGAGCATATGAGGAGCGAAGGGTTCAGCCATAGAGTTTGGAAGCCAGTATGGCTCCACTATATGCACCTGTCTCAGCAATAGTTGCGGCGATCATGTATGACAAATTGATCAAATTGCCGGATGAGTCGTAGCCTTATGGGTGTGTCCCGATGAGGTGACAGGTGTTAGGATGGGTCATGCGTGCCACTCTTAATGACTCCTACACAACAATATGCAACTTTGGAGGAAGGTTCACCAGTTGTCCAATTTGTCCATCAGGGCTCCCAATGTGCCGGAAAATTGGTATTTCTCACACCCCGTGATTCTGCCACTGGCATGGCTCGGGGGATGATTCTGGACGCCAACGGTACCCTTGTATGGAACCAAGCGGAATCGTTGAGGGAATTGAACCAGAGAATTCAGCATTTGAAGGCTCAGAAGTATCGAGGCGAGACGTACCTGACTTACTGGATGGGGAATAATGAACTAGACCCCCCTGTCGGAGCAGGATACATGGTATGCAAGGCGTCCCCCTCTAACTGCAGCACGCCAAGTAGCATTTTAATTCTAATTCAGCCATGCAGCTTGACAATTCCTATCGGGAACGGCATCAGATTCAGCCGGTTGGCTACCCAGCAGCAGACAAACATGAGTTCCACGTCACTTAGGATGGCACTGCAATCGTGATTGTGTACAGCCCCGTCTTAGGGGATCTGAGTCCGGTTGGGGGGACTTCTGGGTGGGTTCTCGACGGAATCTTCCAGGAAATCGACACTGAAACCGGAGCTTTGCTGTTCGAGTGGCACGCGCTTCAGCATTTTCCGCTTAACACTGTAAGAGCACATGAGTGTGTGTATTGGAGATAGATACAGCTATATAGTTCTTTCTCGAAGAGATGGTAAGATCCAAAGGTCACGTGACCCTATATATATTATATCTTCTATAAACAAGAAGATCGCTACTAAGTTATATATAAGAAAGAAAGATGTAAGGCTGCTTATATTTCTAAAATAAAAAAAAAAGAATATAAATATAAAAATGTTAAATAAGATCTACTATACTAAACTATTTAATAAAGTAAGAATAAGCAAGATGTTTAAACAGCTTTATAAAACTATTAACAGCTTAATTTATTGTACTAATATAAATAAATTTAATATTCTTAGTATGTACTTTATATTATATAAAATACTATTTAATAAATATATATTTAGTTTTTATATAAAATTCTGGATTTTTGGCTAGGATAATAGTAGATTAGTTATCTATATAAATTATAATAGGTTTTATTATTAATACTAGTATAGCTTTAAAATATTAAATATCTAATTTAGTAAAAAAAGTTATAGCTAAAAGATTTCTTAGATTATAACAGCTTAAGCAATATATTTACTTTTAATAAAGAATAATAAAATAGTAGTTTATTTTTTTAAACTTTAAAAAACCAGCCTGTTAGTAAGCTTAAAGATATAGCTGGAAGTTAATATAGTATTAAGAATATATAAACCGGCCCAGTTAGTATTATAATATCTAATAAAACTAAAACTACTATATTAATAAAAAAAATAATAGTTAAAAGTATTTATAAAATAGTATTAGATAAGATTTATTACTTAGATATAAAGTTTATTAAAATTTGCTACAAAAAATAATAATTTACTAGTTATATATATAATATTAGAATATATATCAAATCTAATCTAAATTAATATACTATTATATTTTTAATATAATTTAATATCATCTAGCTGTACTTGTTATGGGACCAAGGCCCTGATATAGAGCTCAGCTTTAGATACTAGTTGATGCCTGAGACCTCGCATACTATATACTAAACTAGCACTAGCTTAGTATATATATAAAAAAATTTTATATAAATAGATAAAATAGCTTTTCAGCTATTTCTTCTTGTTTTAAAGTATATTTTAATTAGTATAATCTATCCGTTCTGTAATATTAGAAATAGCTTATTAAAAAAGCTTTAGACAGAGCCCAACTAGATATATAAATAGAATAAAATAAAACTAAAAAAACTTATTAAAATAATAAAATAAATATATTAAAAAAAATTATAGCCGACTGCAGTGTCCGCAGCTATATATAATAATATATAACTTTTTTTATAGAAGCTAATCGGTTTTTATATAAAAATAATAAAATAAAAGCTAGCTTTCGAAGAGCAGATAAATAAATTATAAAATTATAATATAACTTTTACTACTAACAGTAAATTAGAAGAAAACTTTTTATAATAATTATACAAGCCGAACTATAGACCCCGTTCTTAACATTCTGATATAAAACTATTTAATAAAAAGAATAAGTATAATTATAAACTATTTAAATTGAATACATATATAAAACTTATAATTAATAAAAATTATTATTTTATCAAATTAAAATAAGTTTTTTATAGTTACAGTCGACTATACAGAAAGGTAATATAGTAGATACTTTTTTAAATTAAATTTTAAAATATTAAAATAATATAACTCGAAGATATGCTTATAATAATAAATAAAATATTTAAAAATCCTAATATACAATAAAAAGCCCTAAACCAGATAAATATAATAAAATAAAAAAGAATAAAACTAAAAAAGTTTTTAAATAACTTTGATAAAGTTTTATTACAAGCAGAAGAATATAATTAGTCAGATATAGAGTGGATTAACCTGACTGTTATATCTTAACCTTAATCTGGCTATAATCTGGCGGTTAGATTAAAATATAAAAAGATTTTAATCATATAGTTATAGTTAGATAAAAATATAATTATTATATTTACTATTTATACCTGCCGGTTAAAAAGATTAGATATAGTAAATAGATTAATAAGTATAGATTAATTAATAATATATATATTTTTTTATATAAATAATATATAAAATATAATATATTTTTAATTATAATATAATAATATTATCTAGATTTAGCTTATCTACTTAATCTGTTTAATCTATTTAATCTGTTTAATCTATTTAATCTATTTAATCTATTTGATTTATTTAATCTATTTAATTTATTTGACCTATTTAATCTATTTAATCTATTTAATTTATTTAATTTATTTAATTTATTTAATCTATTTAATTTATTTAATTTATTTAATTTATTTAATTTATTTAATTTATTTAATTTATTTAATTTATTTAATTTATTTAATTTATTTAATTTATTT